ATGTTTGTGAATGATACTTTATTAATAATGTAAAATTCAAGATCTTAAACATTTCTTTCAAACGTCATTCTGGTAAAATAAAATTTAAATCATTAACTCCGTAAAAGGTTTACGGGCTGGATGTGGCCTGCTGGTTAACAGCCGGAGGGCAGAGTCTGTGAATTAAAGGGTCCGATTGTTCGCGACCCATTACTGCAAGATTACACTTCGGGCCGTGGGTGTATTATAACAATGACGGTGAAACCTCGTTATCTATTAAATTAACCCAAAAGTTGGCGGTAGGTGCTGTTGATTATCTGCCTCCTCTCTAGCCTATCAGGGACAGCTATTACAAGTAGCCCTGTGAGCGAGATGAAACAAACACGTACGTTACTATGCACATGAGCTGTTGTTTTTTTTTATTTTACACTTAGTTATCGTGAGGATCGAACCTAGAAATTTTGCTATATAATCTCTCAAGTTTACCACTGAGCTACCAGGGGATGCACGTGAATTCAAATCGTATTATGTATTTAGCGAAATGACAAAAACTGTATATCAAAGTTTACGGCCACATATATTTCTAGCTACTGAGAGTTATACACAAACGATTGACCTACACCTGATAACCCTACTTTTACAAATAAAGATACAATGGTGTTCATTCAGTGAACTCCTATAACTATATAAGTCTCAAAAACTTTACTTCAAAATCTTGGGGTACCATCATCGTGAAGAATAAATACTACACGGTTTAAAGAATGTTCTTTGCAATGTGGTGTCAGGTATTTCTTACGTTCTAAATAAAAACAACCCGGGAAGCTGGTAACAACCATCTGACAGAAAGGCCAGGCCAAAGTAATTATATACATGAGCACATTACTTTTCTAAACAGTTAACATCCGTCTGTCTTCAGTCCACCTATGTCAAGTAAACGTTGTACAAAGAAGAGTTATAGATCGCTAAAGAATAACGTTAATAAAGTAATTAACGTTATCTTCTGATCAGTGCAAGCGGTGTACTTAGAGCAAAACTGAAAATCAACCTGTATAGTTAACTAATTATATTTTTCTCAGGTTCTTAATTGTATAGGTTAGAATGCATTATTTAACCAGTTATAAATACTCGCTGTTAACGACAGTTACGGCCGTAATTCCAATAATATCCCACGAGACTCGGCCATATATTAAGCCAACAATTCAAAACTATATTTATGGTAAAAATTATAATAATTATCAATAAAACAAAGTATTCTAAGTAGTAAAATTAATACTGTGAACAAAAGCAACAATATGAAAGTTTGTTGGATATAAAGAAAAAAAATCATTTTTGGATGTCCTGCAGTTGGAATGAAATCCATTTATTCTTCAAAGGTTTGCAGAGCGTACGACTCATAATCAAATTATACGACGATTCTAGATAGAATTTAGATTAGTAAAGTGCCATCTCGTTGTGTAACTTATTGAACAAACGTCTAGTGAGAAAGCTTTCTATCTTCTTGACATGAATGAATTCTGGAGAATAAACCCAGTTGTATTGTCAGTTGACCTTCATAGCAGTCAACAATGACTTTTATAGCAATTAACACTCAAAATAAAAAAGCTAATTAAATCAATACACTTGTTATTTATTCTTGCTATGCATGTATATTTGTCTGAGAGTTTATTGTTTATTTGTAATTAAGCACAAAGCTACACAATGGGCTATCTATGCTCTGCTCACCACGGGTATCGAAACCCGGATTCTAGCGTTATAAGTCCGCAGACATACCGCTGTGTTGTCTGAGAGAGATGAAAGAACGATAAAACTGTATTGTCAAACAAATATTGTCTTTATCGACATACACATTTATTTATTTGTTTTTGTAAAATTAGTATGGTTATTAAGTGCAAAAAAATAAGCCTAAAAATGAATGTTATTTTCAAAAACAACATGAAAAAAACATTAGGTTTGAGGCACGTTTCACTGTACACTTTTCTCCTGTTGGATTTATTTCGAACTAGAATAAATTAATAAAGACAATTCATAAAATACACAGCTCTTCCTGTAAAAACCTCTCTTAAAGACTCGTCTAGTATAGGAAAAGAAATATATTTAGTATTTTTATCTCTATTTGTGGGTGGACGTGGTCTAGTGCCGGACTATGAATTCGAGGGTTCATGGTTCACGTCTCGTAGCCGCAAAGAAAGAAAAAAACGTGCCGATGAGTTGACGTTGTCTAGTTGCCGTACCTTTAGTTAGCACTGATTTAATAAACTTTAGCTAGCACTGATTTAATAAACTTTAGTTAGCACTGCTTTAATAAACTTTAGCTAGCACTGATTTAATAAACTTTAGATAGCACTGCTTTAATAAACTTTAGCTAGCACTGCTTTAATAAACTTTAGCTAGCACTGATTTAATAAACTTTAGAT